ACGTAGCTCCAGAAATCATGAAATTGCATGAATCATGAAATGGGAAGAGCCACGTTTCTATTGTTTTAACTTGAAAGCAGCAACGTACGTAAATGAACCGGTACCGTAATGCCAGGATACCGCTACGCATATGGATTTTTATTTGATTTATTAATGAGAATCGCAAGTTATTATATTCATAAAGATGCTCCCCCTCTGCATGGAGTTATCCTTCTGAAGGTTTGTGCTTTGGCAAAACAATCAGATCTGCAGTGGCGCCGGTACCTGTATAACATTTATTGTTTGCAACTATTAGGCAGTGGTCCAGATGAAATGAGTTTAATTCTTTATTAACAGGAATGGCGCAATAACAAGATCGTGAATCTCTTTGTTTTTTGACAGGTTCAAGAACAGCCGGTACAAGTACTCGTCAATATCGAAAATTACTCTCGGATATCTACAATCGTCTTCATGATATGTTAAAAAAAAAAAAAAAAAAAAAAAAAAAAAAAAAAAAAAATTATAAATCCATTTTGCGTTTCATGTTGTGCCCGTCCTGTCTGTTCATGCATAATTAATCGAAAAGCTTTACAGACTGTACAGACCTGTGTTCTGAGACAGAAAACAAATGTCCCTGGTATAAAAATATTCGCATTCATAAAGAATTAAATAAAATAAGTCCATATTATATGCAAACACAAAGCTAGAAAATTTTATACGAAACAAACTCAAATTTACAACAATACCTTTAAATTTTTGACTTTGTTTGTACCGACATTAGAAATGTGAACTGCCCCTTATCGATTGCAACTGATTAGGATTTATGCTTATAATCGTTAAATATCATATAACTTTATATTAGTTAGTTGACGTCTATTATAGTCTGTTTACTTAAAATAGATCTTTCCAGAACATGCTGATCCTCTCTTTTACGACTGTAATGTGTGTCGTCATCATCATATAGAAGGAAAGAGGTACTTTAATCAAACTATAGGATTCGGCTCGGGCTCATCATCACATTGAAGGAAAGAGATACTTTAGTCAAACTACAGGATTCGGCTATTTCCGCAGCGGTTGTTACCATGGTTACAAGACAAGCCAGAAAGGCCAAAATAGTATTGAGGTGTCTACCCCCAAAGTAATAGAAACCTGTTCTTTTTACCTTGTTTTATTTTGTAGCGTTTTTAACTTTCTTATGACATTAACTTCTTTAGTTCTAATCATTCGTGATTAAGAAAGGAACACACAATTGATTCTTAAAAAAAGATCTTCAGAGCGTTTTTTCAAATTTTACTTATGGCTAAATACCTTATGACTTTATAACTTAGCAGTTAATTAATTTTAAAAAAAAAATAGTCTAACAGGCTTTTGTCCCTTAGCCCTAAATAAATAGTTCTTTGTTTTCATTTGTTTTCTTAAAAAACTTAGAACCCCAAAAATATTTAATACTTAGCACTCATTGCTGTTCATTACACTTATTAACAAAGGCATTCACTTTTAGTGCTAAAACTTTTTTACAGCTGATTTTGATTATGAAACCCAAATTTCTTCATCGCGTTCTATAATTTTGTAACAAAATTTTCCACTGATGCTTATATTCTATGTCAGAGATATTCTACTGAAGGCTAAAGCAAATAATTAATCATAAATAATTATGCAGTTTTTCTTTTGTTATGGTCTTCTGGTTTTCTCCGCATTATTCAATTACTTCCACCCCTTAAGTTGACAAAACTTTGAGATATTCCAATTGACTCTGACCACTTTCTAACTTCCTATTATCAATCAAACGCAGCATATTAATGAAAATGTTTGCGGATTCGGCAAAATAAAACGTTCCCTTAGAGTGCAACATTGATAAACCAGTACTTCAAAGGCAGTTTCTAATAGTTACACCTTGCAAATTACACATGCAAACACTTCGTTAAAGCATATTTGCATGTGCATTGTAACTTATTGCAACTATTATCAATTAATTAGTTGCTGCTATTAGGCTCAAGTTTTACGGTATTGGTTTGCAGAAAGAACATAGTATGGTTACCAAGATTTGATGCAAAACCTTTTGAAGGCAATACATTAAAATTATTTTATAAAGATATTCTCTAAATTAAAGGGAGGGAAAAAACAGCAGGCATCTTGAATGGTCTCCAGATCGGAACATTAATGAATGATCTTAAAATAGGTACACTTAATAAAGCTGAATCTGAAAGATAACTACAAGTCCTCTCATGTCAGACAGTTTCGGACAGAGGCGTAGCTATGGTTTTCAAAGCCTGAGTACAACAGAAGGTTTTGCGCCCTCTTCTCTGTGCCAAGAATAAAAAACATTCCATTCTAAAATTTCTTAACATCAATTTGGTGCCCCCCTGGATGCTGCGTCTGGGGACAGATGTCCCGTCCTTGCCCCACCCTAGTCACAGTAAATGAATTCAGTTCTACAGTAACACGTTACAAAGTAGTGATAGTCTAGTACATGCCAATGGGACGAACGTCGCCCATGAGATACTTTTTTGCATTTCGCATTTAGATTAACATAAAAATATTATTACTGACCATAGATTTCCAAACTCACATATGCTTTCATTCTTTAGTTTCCGGATTTGTAGCACACCTTGGAACTATATCTGATCCTGTCCTGTTTTCAAATTTTTAACCATCTTAAGACTCGCTGAAAATATCAGAATTAAAAACCTATTCTTCACAAATAATTAATATTTTTGATTTCCTGACGCGTTTCTAATAATAGTTAAACGACGATTATAGTGCAGCTTCAAACTCACCCTCTTGTGCAAAGAAGCTGCACCATTGATATAAAGGTTATTGATACACAATTGCAATACCTACCACTTTTGCACATCGCGTAAAAATGCTTAGAAAAATGCCAGTTTTGTTCGTTGAAATGCACGAGAACATGGTTGTAATCTGCATCATTTTATCATATAAAATGTATTTTATAGTTCGAGGTGGAAACTTTGTTAAAAGTACCAGTGTTATAGGTTGAAATATGTGGCCTAAAAATACACGTTGTGTAAAAGGACGTTTTACACAAGAGGAAAAATGTCACACTCACCATTTTTCCTCTTGTGTAAAACGTCCTTTTCAGAACATTGTGGGAAAAATTCAAAAAGTACCGATGTCGTACGTTGAAATGTACGTTCTAAGAACATGGTTGTAACACGCATCACTTTAGCACGTCCTGTAGAGCGTATTTGATGAAATGCGCTGAGAACGTTTTGAAGAGAACCAATGCTGTATGTTTAGATGTGCGTTCTAAGGACACGTTTGTTACACGTATAGCTTTAGTACGTCGTGTAGAACGCCCTTTGTTGTATATACTAGAAATGTTTCGAAAAGTATAATCTACATGCTAAAACCACGGTTGTAACACGCCCTTCCTTAACATGTCGTGTAGAATATATTGCACATATTGGGAACGTTTCGAAAAGTACCAAAGTTGTACATTTAAATGCACGTTCTAAGAACGCGATTGCAACCAAATTATCATGTTTTGTAAAACGAATGATACGCTCTCTGAACGTGCTCTGAACGTTCCGGTGCTGCTTGGGAATATAGGATGCTGAAAATATTAGCCAAGCAACTGCTAAAAGTAAAAAGTAGACAATGGCAAAAGATCGAAAAAGACCTACAATAACTGTGTTTTATAGTACTTGCATTAATTAAAAACGACTTATACATACAAAACGACATATTAATTATAAAAATTAAAATTTAAATACCCAGAAAAAATGCCAAGAAAAAAAATATTACCCGGATCTGAAATCAGTGCAAAATATAATTTTCTGTATTAGATGTTTCCATAACAACGCATACACCATATTAAACGCTGTCGTTAGTTTTTAAATCGATTCCAATCAAATAGCAAAGAAAATAATTGAGAATTGCACAAATTTTTTAAAAAATAAACAATTTATGTATTCTCTTATAATTGGTTCCTAATTGAGAACATAAGCAGTTTAAATAGCGGTTTATTTTTTAAAATTAATTAATTAATTTATTTTTTTCTTTGTACAGAAGTGAAAACAGAGTAGTAAAAAAAAAAAAAAAAAAAAAAAAAAAAAAAAAAAGCGTATGAACATCAAGCTTCCTACTCTTTCTCAATATTTTTATTATTTTTGTTCTTTTTCGTTTCAGTAAATGTCAACCACAATATGCACTTGTATATTTTTTTGTTTTTTACCTTCGTCTTCTTACCTACATTTAAACTTTTAGATAAGATACGGCCTTTATAGTTTATCTGCTAAATGCTACACCTTCCTGTTATTCTACGCGTTCCAAACGACGCTAAAGTACAAATACTATGCAATTTTTAAGCGATTTATGATTATTTCAATTTAATTTCATTCCATCATTTAAAAATTTTCTTTTTTCTTCCGAAATTAACTCAAAATATTGAACTTTTTTATTTTTCAAATTTTTTTTTGTCATGAACTGTATTTTAAGAGAGATATCGAATTTTTAATTTTTAATTTGTTATTATGAACTCTATTTTAAGAGAGCTTAAATTGAGAAATTTCAGTTCTGTATTCTGCATGGAAAAGAAATGATTGCTAAAACTGATTTTATGGGATAATTCTAATTATGAATGTACAGTTTTTATTTGGATTATTGTTTTTGATTTATTATTATTATTATCATTCATTCTTTGGTCTAGTTTATATCGTGGCTACTTGAACAGGTATTAAATTTTGTTGTAGATGATTTATGATTTTTATATATATTTAAAGTTTATATAAAAATTTATTAAAGAGAAATAATTCATAAATTAAGATGAGAAATAATAAAAGCAGAAACTCAGAGTGCCGAATGCTATTTATCTCATCTAGGAAATGCAAAAATTGCTAAAAGTATTTTGTTTATTTATTTAGTCCCCCGAAAAAAAGCGCTTCTTATAAAATCGGTTAAATTTAATTCAATAGAACAGAAAGAAAACTCTGAATTTTGTTTTTTGGTGACATTGAAATAATGGAACTACATTTAATTAAGAAATTCCAAAACCAACTCACCCATTAAATGAGGAAATATTCCGAATTATCCAATCTCGTGATCATGATCCGGCGGCACAGAAAAAAGTGAGAAAAAACCGGATCAAGTTTTACTAATATTAACTTTTATACATTCGAGTATTGAAAATGAACTGCTGAAGAACGAGAATAGAGTATCTGTCCGAAAGATGCTGTTGCCAACACGCCCAAGCGAAATAGCAACCACAGTTCAAAGCAGCAGCAGAGCAGCAAGCGGCTGCCCGTTGCACTGATCAACACTGCAATGAGTATCCCGTTGGTTGCACACTCTGATATAAAAACTACACACACTACGCGGCTTTCAACACTTCCCTCCTCCTCTCTGATTTTTACTCAGAAATGCCAGTCGCCTAGAATTTCTTGGAATCGACTGTAGAGCTCGTTTCTCGCTCTTGCGATTCGAAAACTACGCTTCGCTCTTTCTCAACGTACTCTGCGTCTGTCTGTCCGTCTGTCTGAACGTTTGAGAGCACTCAGGGCTGCTGCATTTCAAGCGGTCGCGCCATCGCGTCGTGATGGTTTGTAGCCTCGTTTGGCGAGCTTTTCTCAAAAAATTTCAGTCGCCAAAATAGCATTTCTGTTTCTCGCTCTTCTTTTCGAAAAATACTGTAGGGATTCTTAAAGAACTAATCGTACGCAATTAAAAAGAGGGGGGATGCGTTTAAAAATGGTATTTATTTAGAACAGAAATATTCTAATTAATTTTTCGAAAAAGATTTTTAATGCATCAAACAGCGCACTGCGGAGATAAAAGATCTTGCGAATGCCCTTGGCAACAACTTCTGTTTATAATGCACAGGGTTTTATTAACGTTTCTTCGAGAGAATTTTTTCTGTCTCATAAATTCTTACATTCTTATGGATACTGATGCTATACTACAACGCGTTACGCATAAAATATACGTTTCTTCGAATTAAGACATCATCGATTGTAAAACTATCTTCTTATATCGTATACTTCAGTACCACTAAAGGAAAAAAAAAAAAAAAGTGATTTTATGAAAATTAAGTTAGTAAATATTTAATTTGAAAATAACACTAATTTAAATAAATATAATATTTAATAATAATTTTTTAATATTTAAATTTAAAAAAAAGCTAGAAGACACTTTTTTTTAAATATTCGATTTCGATTTAGTAACAACAGTATATCTATTTAAATTAGTAATTTGTAAAAATTAATCACTTCTGATTAATTAGTAATTTGGAAAATTCTGCAATTCAGAGACGTCATCAGTTCTAAAAAGTCGTTTTAAACAACGTTTCGATACTGGAAAAAAAAAAAAAAAAAAAAATGCCCCATCTTTAAAATTTTTATTTTTACTTAGGTAACATAAAATAAACTAATATGCAATTTTTATTTTTATTTGAATTATGGAGTGGCACACAATTGTATCCGCTTGGGGAAGAGGTGTCTTCGTGAAGAACTTTTTAAGAGAAACTGGCCCCTGTTCACGTTACAGATGGGAAAAACGCAAGAACTCTCATGCAGCCAGCTTGTTCATCGGGATTTGAGTCCGGGGTGAACTACTATTGTTCAGCGATTTTACTACTCTACCCAATAACTGACTTTTGTTACTGTGAGAAAGAATTCTTCAGTTTTTCATTTTCCTTACAGCCACTGAATTTAAATTAGTATTTAAATGCTCCTTGTTGGCATGGTAGTAGGATAGCAGAATGCCATACATTTGGCCTTGGACTCTTAACCCGGAGAAGGCATGGGTGTTTGTAAGTGCAGCATAGCGTTTTTGCAGCATGGAGCACTAGCGGGGGTGCGGCGCGTAAAAGTACGCGGGCGGCCAAAATCAGGGGCGGTCGTACTCTCGCGATACCACGCCTAAATATTTTAAATTCATCGTAAGTACGTGCAATATGTAAGTACTTCTTATACAATTTGTCAAAAGTGAGTATTTAGTGAGTATGAAGTAAAAATGTTAGTAATCATTGAGCCCTTTTTTTAGGTTTTAGGGCAGCAATCTCAGGAAATTACCCGAGCAGCCAATGGCATAGGAATGGTCCTGGGAGCACCTACAATACTATCGAGCCAATATTGTTGTAGACAGGCAAATGATGACAAGTGGATCCGTCTCTCGGAAGATTCTCCTTCAAAATTCGGGTAGAGCTGGCAAATTCGCTAATTAGATGCGATTTCATTAATCTGGTATTTTCACTAATTTGGTAATCACTAATTCGGTACTGTCAGTAATTAGGTGCTAAAGTCTAAGCTAACAAGCGCAACTCTTGCTCTTTTGGCCGCAGATAATTCGCTTAATTGATCTGATGTGCTGTCGTCAGATAAGTACGTTAAGTCTCAAAGACAAACTATTGGAACTAATGGTTCTGAGTTCAAGTTTGCCAAATTCAAGATGAAAATTAACAGTACTGAACTTTACAAGTATTTAAGAGAAAAATAATTAGAAGTTATAAAAACTTGTAGCAACCCCAAAAGTCCCTATTTGAGAAATCCTGTTTGGGAATATTATTAACGTCATTGTTAGGTTATTGTTCCATTTCCTGAAAGAACGGTAAAAATTTCTTAAATTTTTTTTTTATATTGCGATTTATATATTGAGTGAGACTTCTCATGGCGTGACTTCCCTGAGACAACTACGATCACAATATCGAATATAAATTATCATTGGTGTAGAATATCAATTCTGTAAGACGACTATCTCTATAGAAGATCAAAATAATCATGAGAGTAATTAGAGAGAGTTCATCATACATATTATGGAGTATAATTTATTAATTTTGTTGGTATTTCGGCACATTTCGGGAATTCTTTATTGGAGTCACTTCCGTAAGACAGCAAACAGTCTACAATCACTACATCGAATATAAACAATCATTGGTACTAAATATATAAATTCTTTAAGACGACTATCTCTACAGAAGTGGTGTATTTAATTATGGCAAAGCACGCTAGGGCTATCTGCCTAAGGGGGAGGGATGCCTTCGTGGAGGACTTTCTAAGGAAAACCGGCTCGTATACACGTTACACATGGGGAAAACCACGAAAACGCCCATGCAGCCAGCCTGTTCGCGGGATTCGAACCTCGGACCGAACTACCAGTGTTCAGCGACTTTACCGCTCGGCCGCTGGTGGGCCTATCTCTACAGAAGATCAAAAAAATTTGAAGCTATGGATGATCGCCTTAGAGAGAATTCACCATAAATTAATAAAAATTAATTAAAATTTTTAATATTTTTGGTAGTTTATTACATTGAGAAATCTTTATTACAGAGCAAGTGCAATGAATGAACCTTCTCGGGGGTCACTTCCTGAAACCAACAGCTAGCAATTGCCACATCGAATATAAATAATCATTGGTACTGAATAGCGTGAATTCCTAAGACGATTATCTCTATAAAAGATCAAAATAATCTAGAACTGAGGATGGTCTTCGTAGGGAGAGTTTATAAATAGTTTATTATTATTATTATTATTTTAATATTTTGGATAGTTTATAACTTCCTGGGAATTCTTTATTACGCAGCAACTTTCGACTGAAATATATATTTATATTCTGCAGAAGAATTCAAGAAGGAATGTTTTTACGTATGATCTTATTGCAATAGTTTATTTGCTTTAAAATTTTTTTCTAAAAGGTTGGTTTAAAATAAACTGAAAATGACTTGCTTTTTTGACTTAATTCAATTTCTGTCCCCATTATTCCGGTTAAACGGGGTTGTACCAAAGAATCCCTAATAAGGAATCCTTTCCTTAGAGATTCTTTGGTTGTACTATCCTATTGTGTATTGCTAAAATTCCTCTTCTTCAGTGCGAAAATATTTTCGCAGCATCGGCAATCTAATTTTTCTCTCTAATTTTGTGAGCTAACGCCAAATATGGAAGATGGTGCTCCTACGTAGGAGCGCCATTTTTGAGTGAATAGAGAAGATAATCAATGTTTTGGCGAGAGAACTGTGAGTACAAGATTAGTAGTAAGCCACCGTACTCGTGCTACGGAAGTGACGTCACAGAAAAGGGCCGTGGGCAGTATCCAGAGGGGTCTGGAATCGGAAGTGACGACACCAGCGCCATCTTGTATCACGTCATGGAATGACATAATCAAACTTTCGTTTTGATTCTGTGGCAACGATTTTACGTTTTCAAAGTTTTTATTTTTTGTGGCAACGACACTATTTTTTATGTTTATGGCAACGAGCTCTTAACCACGTGTTTGGCAGGACACCACTTTTAATTTATTGTTTTTAATTATTTAATACGTCATTACTTTTAATTATTTACTCATTTTATACGATACATTTTAATTATTTAATCCGTCATTAGTTTTAATTAGTTTTAATTGATTCCATTATATTTTAATCCATTTTTAATGAATTTAGTATCATTTTCCCTGTATTTTAAAAATAACTCCACGGCTGAGATTCAAACTCGCTATCCATGGGATGGGAGTTTAGCGCTTTCCCGCTCGGCTACCCGGTCCTCTTATCAGACTTGTTATTTGAAACCCTCTTTGGCCCTTTGACTTTTTGCACCATTGATGACATAAGGCTGAAAGTCTGCGCATGAGCTTTGACATGAAAACCGCGTCACACATTTGTTTTTACACGACGGCTAGGATTTCTTTTGGCTTCTTAATCATTACTTTATTCATTGCTGATTTAAATGTAAGATTTTCCCACAGTTTAATTTTTTATTTTTAATTGTTTTCATTTTTCATTTCATTCTTACTTTTTTTAAGTTATTAGTTAATTTATTAATTTTTATTTCATTTTTTCCCTTTCCCAAACATAAATTTCATTTTTAACTTTCGCAAATTGACGTTTACTTCCAACAAAAGTGAATTTAAATTTTCTTTTTACTTTTTATCTTGCAAAGTTTATTTTTTTTTATATTTAATTTTCTTTTTGGTTTTACAAAAGTAATATTTATTTTTACTTTGAATTGAATTTTTCCTTTTCACTTTTTATTTTGCAAAAGTTTTTTTTTTTTTCCAAAATTTTATTCCTTTTCGTATTTTTACTTTACTTTATTTTAATTTTTGTTTAACTTTCTTTTTGGTTTTACAAAAGTAATATTTTTATTTACGAATTGAATTTTTCCTTTTTCACTTTTTTATTTTGCAAAAGTTTTTTTTTTCCCAAAATTTATTCCTTTTCGTTTTTACTTTTTACTTTTAAACTTTTTAAATTATTCCTTTCGTATTTTACTTTATTTTAATTTTTTGTTTAAACTTTTTTTTTTTTTTTTTGTTTTACAAAAGAAATATTTATTTTCCAAATTTAATTTTCCTTTCCGCTTTTTATTTAAAAAAAGTGTTACTACATTTTTAACTTAATTTTTTTTACAAAAGTAATATTTAGTTTCATAATTTTAATTTTTTTGAGTTTTTTTGTTTACACAAATGTTTTTTTTTTTTTTTTTTTTGTTACATTTTTATTTTACCCTTAACTTTTTCCCC